TGTAATAAAAATTAATTTCTCATATAAATTTTTTTTAAGGATTTTAAAAGAGATTATGAACGAAATACAGTGATGTCTCTTGTAAATTTGTCTTATTAGTTTATTATTTTTATATAAACTTAGCTTCAGAAAATATTGATAGGGGAAATTGCTTTTGGAGGGTTTGGTGTTGTAATGTGTATCTATGTGAATTTAAAAATTTATAGAGGGGTTTTAGTGTGTACTAAGTTCCATTTTTTCTGAAGAGATAAAAATACCCTTTTTTTTAAAGTTATAATAATGATAAAAATAAACTAGAGTATATTTCAGATGTCTTTTTTGGTTGCAGTGTATTATTTAATAATTTTTGTGGAGAAGATATTTCTTTATGATGTACTAGAACAATTTATATGGTCTGGTTTTTTTGGCTAATAAAATATATGGGATATGTCCTTTGCTTTATTCTTTATTATATATGTGTTCTGCATGTTTGGTTTGTTTCAATTTTCTGACTTGCTTCTTCTTTATCTTCTGTCTGAAAGAAAAGGTTTGTATGTGAAACTTTGTTGGGGTAATTGGTTAATTAGATTTTGATAAAAATATAATATCATGGGTTTAATTCCTTATGGATCTCATTTGTACAGACAACTTTGGATATTGACTTAATGAATCTTGAACTTTTATGCACCATAATTTCCTGGACATACATTGATGTACAATTATTTTAATTTACAGTTAAATATTTTTTATAGGAAAGTAAAATAGAACAATTACTAGAAATTAGTTGTTTATGCATTTGTATTATTTTTGAAGCATTCAATTTGGTTACATAGCTTAATTTTTTTCCCTTGTGTTTTTTGTTTTTCTTCTTTCTTTTTTTTTGGATAAAAAAAAGGGAAAAAATAATAATTGTAGGTGTATGCACTTGGAGCTGGCTGTGCTGGTAAAATTAATTGCAGCTACTGGTGGTAAGTTTATTATTATTGATTTAACTTGGAATATTATAAGGTGGCTTGGTTTTCTTACATATGTTACCTTTAGTTGTTGCACTTTGATTGTAGTTTAAGTTTAGAGGATGTATATGTTAAATGTTTTTTTTCCCGGTTACAGGTTATGGCTATTCAGTCAAGCAAAATTGCCATTCCATTTCGACCTCTTTTTAGGTCAATTGATTGATTGTTTATATTTTCCTAAACCGGTTTATGGTTTCATAGATAGGGATAGGAATAATGCTTTGTGTTCGTATTAGGACTGAATGTGGGAAGTCTGAATTTGTATTTTTCGGTGGGGAAGCTAACACAGTTGAGGAGTCCCAAGAGAGAGCAGCTCAAAAAGCTGTGCAGAAATTGATGAACCAGTTTGGGGTGCGGGTGAATGATTTTACATCCGATAGAGCAAGGATGTATCAGCTATGCAGTAAGCTTTTTAAGCATAAGGTGGTTGAGTTATGTAGTGAAAAAGGGATAGTGATGCCTGGTGCACAGAAGGTTTTGGGCAAAAACCATCTGGTGATGTTGTTCATGTGACGATTGACTTCGTAGGCTTTTTAGAAGCTGTTGTTACAAGGACTGGAGCAAAGGTGAGTCCATTAGAGACTATTTGGGTTGAAAATTTGGGCTTTGTGTCTTGGCTAACAGTGTCTTGCCCACATAATGGAGGTGAAATGGAATGCATATATAGTGATGCTTGTCCTGAGTTAGCTGATGCGAGGCAAAAAGCTGCCAAAAGAACTATTCATTACTTGGTGACTAAGTATAATCTAGAGATCATTGATGCTAATTATGGTGCAATTTCGGAGAAGCGTGTTGCTTGCAGTGCTCTAAAGAGAAGGTTTTACCAATTAAAGGAGCATTTGACTGCCAGAGAGGAAAACTTTGCTACTGATGAATGCTTGACTCCTACTTCTGAGAGGTTTCGAATCCCTGAGATTGGTTTGCCTCCAGCTGCTCCAGTTAAAAGACGTTCAGTTACATCATTAGATGCAGCATCTTCTTCTACTGTTAGAGTTGTTGAACCTTTGGTTTCTGGCATACCTGAATTAGAGACTGTATGGAAGCGGGCAAAGTTTGTTTAGCCTATATGGAGACTTACATTAGTATTTTGGGTAGAAAGTTGTATGCCTGGATATAGGTGTTTAGATTTAGCATTGATATATCTTATTATCTTTTTTTGTCTTAGAGCCTAGGTCTATGAGTAGTAATGGCTAAAATTTTTCATTAGAAAACAGACTTGAAGGCTGTAATTGAAATATAATGTAATGTGTATCTTGAGTAATGAATGGATTAACTTTTTATGTAGTTCTCATGACTTCTTAATTTAATATTTCTTTCATTAATTTTATTGTTAATTGTATGTCTTCTTGATTTTACAATGCTCTTTCATGTTTGGTGTTAAATATGTTCAGTATTTTATCTTTTTGAAGCTACATGGAAAATGTAAATACGGGTTTTAATTATGCATTAGCTTTTCTGTTTGCAGTAAATGATAACTATTTATGTATACTGATATTCAAATTTCGATTGTATAACTTAGTTTATGTATGTATATAAGCATGTGAGGGAATAGGGAGAAAAGGAAATCTTTAAAGTAGGATTAGAGTTAAAGGAAGTAACAAGATGAGATAATGACAAGCTTCAATGGCTTTATAAAATAATAAAAGCAAGTATTGTTAATGATATGCACATGCTCTTATTAAGGTACAAAATAATGTAGTAGATTAGTGAATTCATTTATTTTGTTTTTGTGGCAGTAAAACAGGAGGATATTGCAATTTCAAATCGAGATCAGTGTAAAATTCAGGAATTATTGTTATAGGCTTAGATCACAGAAGTTTTACGCAGAACAAATATTGGAAAATGTAAACATTTGCTTGAGTTGAAGGAGATATGCAAGTTAGTGTATTAGATTGATCAAATTTGTGAGGATTTTAAATTGCAGAGCCTTTTAAATTACACCTTGTTTTTTATTAAAAAAACATCTTGTTAACTGCACCTGCTGAGTATTTCTATATATGTTCTTTATACAGTTAATGACATAAACTGAGATCGTTAATAACTTGTGCAAATTGTTGATATGTGCATGCAAATGGTTGACATGACTTGGTCTGCAGCAAAGTAATATGGGTATATCTGAAAATTTTGCATGATTCTTATGATAAGTCTTTCTATTTATATGCGCATTGCTATGTTCGTTTATGATATTTATTTTATGTTCGAGTTGCTGAGTTATTGTTTTAATTGTTTATATGATAGCTGATGCACCTATTAATTTTAAGAGACATCATTTCAAGGTCGAAAATCAAAGCGAATGAGTGCTTTGGTATCAACTCATAATTCTACTAGGTAAAATAGATGATTTAAAATAATAAAATTATTATTTTTGGTGAACTAAATTCATAGGTTCTTTATTCTTTGTACAGTCAAGCAGAACAACCAAGATCGAAAAAGCCTAAATCAAGACCTTCGAAATATATTGTACTTGAAAGTGGGTCATTTGCCTTACATTGAATTACAAAAGTGAATATATATATATAGTCTTTTTTTATAAGATCTGGTTTAATTTCTTTTTGGTCATGCTACAGAGAGGCCTTCGACTCACAGATCTACACCAACAAATGGCCAAAGTTCAAAACAGCTAAGGGATGCAGCTAAAAGTAAGGTTTAGTAGTAATTTCAGTTTATCTATTTTGCACACATACATAGTTGCACAGTCAAATTATCTCAAATACCCTTTAATGTTATTACAGAAACCCCTGCGGAAACTATAGGAAAACCATTACCTAGGCATCCCCTAGAATTATCTCCACCTACTTACTGTGATAAGTGTGGAGCTAAGAAGTTTGAGTTTGAAACTCTACATTTTTGGTGTGGTAATGGTGATATTAAAATAGCTGAGAATGAATATCCCCCTGAATTAATGAGGCTTTTTACTTCAAGAGATGAAGATGCTCTCCATTTTAGAAAATATGCACAGTTATACAATAACTTATTTGCTTTTAGTTCAATTGGAGGTAAAACTAATAGAGAAACATACAAAGGTATATATGTCTTTAAATTGCATGGCCAAATATATCATTCTGTACCAGACTTATTACCAGATGAGAATGGTCCAAAGTATCTGCAACTTTATTTCTATGATGGGCAAAATGAATTAAAACACATAACAGACTGCTTTCCTGAATTAAGACAAGATGTTATTGACAAATTAATTCAAGTAACTAAAGATAATCCATATGCAAGATTTTTTCCGCTCTTTGAAAGAAGTAAATGTTGATGAGCGTACTAACATTATAATAAATTCAAACACTGTACCAGATCAAAGAGTATATAATGCTCCCACTTCAGATGAAGTTGCTGTTATCTGGCCTGATAGTGTTTCGTCAAGTCAGAGTTTCATGGCCACATGTTCTTGTAACAACAAAGTCTTCAAAGTCTCATCGGATTTCTCATTTTTATGGGTGCTATGATCCTTTGCAGTATCTCTTGCTATTCCCAAGAGGTGAATGTGGTTGGCATCAGGGTTTAAAGAAAACTTCTTATGGTGGAGGCAGACAAGTGGCAACTGAACCTGATCCGATACAGTCCTGCGCAGTGCACACTCCGGCAAATTTTCTAGATGCAGAAGCTGCTCGTAAGTACTTAAAAGAATAATGGTATTATTTTTAAAGCTGTTTTTATACTTGTGTATCCTTATCGTATGCTTAATTTGAATTTTCTCTGGACTTTAATGTTTGTAGAAGCTTCTGGAAAACATACCAAAGCTGATAAGAATATCTCTGCAAGGGAGTACTATTGTTATAAGCTTCAAATTAGACCAGTAAACATGTTGTTAAGAGCAGGCCGTGCATTTTTGCAGTATATCACAGACATGTATATCAAAGTTGAAAACACAAGGTTAGATTTTTTTTCGGCAAAATCAGGATACAATAAGAGCGGATCTTTATAAATGGATTCTAGACACTGTAGAGAGTGGCCAGACAAGTGCAGCTAATGTTGGTCATAAGTTCATTTTGCCACCATCATTTATAGGAGGCCCTCGTGATATGAAAAGGAGATATCTGAATGCAATGGCTCTTATGCAGAAATACGGGAAACCTGATCTCTTTGTCACTATGACCTGCAATGAAAATTGGCCAGAGATAAAAGATGAGCTAGAGCCTGGTGAGACCGCACAAGACCGGCCAGACTTAGTTGCTCGTATATTTCGAGCAAAGTTGATTGCTCTGAAAAAACAAAATAAAAAAAGATGAAGTATTTGGTAAAGTGGCAGCAATGATATATGTCATAGAGTTTCAGAAAAGAGGATTGCCACATGCTCATTTCCTATTGATTCTAGAGCAACAGCATAAGATGAAGTGTCCTGCTGATTATGATAAATATGTCTGTGCAAAAATACCTCCTGTTACTCAGCCTGAGCTGCGTAAAATTGTGTTAAGGCATATGATGCATGGACCATGTGGCCGCTTAAATCCAGAGTGCCCTTGTATGAGAAAGAAGGCTAATGTTATTTCTTGTAAAAATGGGTATCCAAAACAATTCACCGTACAAACAACAACAAATAAAGATGGCTATCCTTACTATAAGAGAACTGATACTGGAGAACAATTGAAAGTCAGAAATGCTCAGTTAGATAACCGATGGGTTGTCCCTTATAACCCCTATCTCACAGCACTATTTTATTATCATTTGAACGTAGAAGTTTGTTCAACTATTAAAGTAGTGAAATATTTATATAAGTATGTTTACAAGGGACACGATCGAGTGGCCTTCAATATTCTGGCTGAAGATAAAAATTGTAACGATGAAATTGCTCAGTTTCAGTCGGGGAGGTGGGTGTCGCCATGTGAGGCAGCTTGGAGAATTTTTGGATTTGATTTATTTGAGATGCATCCACCAGTATTACCTTTGTCAGTTCATATTCCAGACATGAACACAGTTTGTGTACGCCCTTATGAACGTCTGGATGTTGGTATTGCAAGCGGTGTTTATGGTAGGACTCAATTAACTGAGTTCTTCCGTATGAATGCAGCTACTGATAATGGTCTTGGTTACTCAAATGTAGAATTTCCTGAACACTATAAGTGGGATGCTTCAGCAAAATCATGGCCCAAACGGCAAAATAAAAAATTGATGATAGGGCGATTAGCTTTTGTCGCTCCTTCGGAGGGTGAACGCTTTTACCTTCGGCTTCTATTACTGAATGTCAAAAGTCCAAAATCATTCACAGACTTGCGCACTGTTGAAGGTTATGTGTGTGCAACTTTTAAAGAAGCATGTCTAAGAGCTGGCATTTTGGAAGAGGACGATGCTGTAAGCATTTGTTTAGCAGAAGCAACTAAAATTCAGCTCCCTCGGGCTTTACGTCGACTATTTGCAACTGTTCTTATATTTTGTCAGCCAAGTAACCCTGAAGAATTATGGTTTAAATGTTATTCTGCATTATCAGAATATTTTGCACGCTAATACTCTGGTGTTGAAAACAAAGTTAAAAGATTAACTGTCAGATCAGTAGAGCAGCATTTAGAGGCCATGGGCAAGTCATTATCTGCTTGTGGTCTGGCTGTTTTAATGGAAGACACTGATAACCAGATTGATAGAACAAAAGACATTCAAGATGCTTTAGATGCTCCAATTCCTCAAAATTGTATAGAAAGTCGTGGCTTGCTTAATACGGCACAAAAGGAAATTTTTACTTGTATTATGCAGCATATCGTAGAAGGAAAACTAGGGGAATTTTTTGTAGATGGTCCTGGTGGAACTGGTAAAACGTTCTTATATAATTCATTATATGCTGAGATCCGCCTTATGAATAAGATTGTTTTACCTACTGCTACGTCTGGAATAGCTGCAGCAAATATTCCATCAGGTAGAACAGCACACTCAAGATTCAAAATTCCATTGGACAGTGATGCTTCATTAGCTTGCAGTGTTTCTAAGAAAAGTAGCCTGGCAGCGTTAATAAAAGAAACAACTCTTATAATATGGGATGAAGCATTTATGGCAAACAAGCAAAATCTAGAATCTCTAGACCTTTTATTACAAGACATATGTGATAGTGATGTGATATTTGGTGGGAAGGTAATTGTGTTTGGTGGAGACTTTCGACAAGTGTTGCCTGTTGTTCCTAACAAGACTATTAGAGAAGCAGTGGAAGCAAGTATAGTGAGTTCTTATATATGGCAGCATTTGCGGAGATTCAGGTTAACTGAAAATCTAAGAGCTAGGAAGATCCTTCATTTTCTCACTTTTTACTTGCACTGGGAAACGGTGAACTGCAGACCATGGAAAGTGATTTTGTTGAGTTGCCACCTCAGATAGTGCAGACTTTCCAGCCTGATGCTGATCCAATAGATGAGTTACTCGAATCTTCTTTTCTAGAACTTGGTTCAGGTGCTCTGGACCCTCAAATCTTTTCAAGAAGGGTTGTTCTAACACCTATAAATGACGATGTAGATACTATAAATCCGTTCATGATTGAGAGATTCCCAGGACAAGCCATATCTTATACAAGCTATGACAGTGTCCTAGATGATAGTGGCAGCGTATATCCTACAGAATTCCTGAATAAACTATGTCTAGGTGGAATGAGCCCTCACAATCTTGTGCTCAAAGAAAACTGCCCAGTAATATTGCTTAGAAACCTTCTACCATCTTCTGGTTTTGCAATGGAACGCCGCTTATATGTAAAAGGTTTTTCCCTAATTTAATTGAGTGCGTGATTTCTATCGGACAGTATCAAGGGGAACATGTATTTATACCCAGAATTAAACTCAGACCATCAAGTTCTCAGAAATATCCTTTCCAATTTCAGAGGAACCAGTTTCCTATCAAGCTCAGCTTTGCAATGACTATAAACAAGTCACAGGGGCAAACTTTAGATAAAGTGTTAATATATCTCCCTCGTTCGTGTTTTTCACATGGTCAGTTATATGTGGCTCTCTCACGTGCACGGTCTGCAGATAAGTGAAAGTTGTATCAGTGGCTCCTACTTTACAGCATTCAGAAAACTCTGTTAAAAATGTCGTATCTTATGCTGTCCTAAAGCTAGCAGGAGTAATTTAGGTGATTATACATTGACTAAGCTTACTAAGTTGATTTTTCGAAATATATAATGGCAGTCCTAATTTTCGTGTTTTACTCTTATTTTGCAGGAGTAATCTAGGTGCTGTTAGATCATTCCTAAAATAAGCTAAGTCATGTGCAATCACTTTAGTAGTGGTCCAATGTTGAATTCCAAGTATGCCTTTTCTTTCACCTATTTGCTTGATACTAATATACTCTATTTTGCTGCAATCCATTTTAATGTGAATATACTAATTCATATATGGCATTAACTATGGGTGATATTTAATGACAATAATGGTTGGTTAGTGATTATGGGTCATATCTTTCTTGTTTTAGATTGCTACTGTATATTACGTGTGTGTGTGATTGTTTTAACAGGGCTTTATGACTACTGTAATAAGTTAATATGCTAATTGATTCCAATTATGCATTCTGAACTTTAATACATGTGATTTTTTTCAATGAATTCTTGTATGTGCTTTATTCTATAGCGTATGAGCAAAGATTACTTTTAGTAAATGTAGACACTTACTTTATTACTCTAGATCATAACTTGTTTTAAAATAGGTGTTTTGTATTAATGAGTTGTTGTGTGGAGAGTAATAAGTGTTTAATTTTGAGTAAATTGCTATTTGGGTTTTCTGGCTTTGACATCACAAGGAAGGAGTGAACAGAAAATCTGTCTGGACTTTATTACATGTCTACTGGAAGAAAAAACCTAACTCAGGATTTATTGATTGATGTTCAATTACAAATCTTCAGATGAACTAAATGTTATGCCATATACTGTAATTTCGGGTCCTTCAACGGTTCAGAAGATTCCTCCGGAGCAATTTTGCTGGCATGGTTTTGTGATAACTAAAGCATTAGCCCTTGGGTTTAGAAAAGAAGTGTATAAGCATCTTGTTAATTGTTTCTTGATCATCAGGCAAACCATGCATAAATTGGTTTTCTGTCAAGCTTTCGCCTTACATATTTTCATGTAGCATACACTTATAGTGGACACAATACTTTTAATTATAATTCTCCTTTGATTATAACTGATATTGTTTAGAGCAATTAGAATGATTGATGGTTGAAATTAAACTATGTTTGCTTCACTATTTAACATTATTGGTTGTAAGAGCAATTAGAATAATTAATGGTTGGTTCTGATTTATTTATTTAGTTAAAGATCTAATGTGATTTCAAACCCTTGATTTCTTTTGCTCTATTTTGTCGTGCAAGAAGATACCCTTATTGTTAGGCTTCATGGATCAACGTCAATCTGCAAATGACATAAGCAGGTCAGTGGTTTTAATGATTTTTCAAAGGTCGCTGCTCTTATTCCCTTAATACATCATTATTATTCATGATTATTCTTTTTTTCTTTTTATTTATTTTTCGGTTTTTTATTCTTGAATAAGTTAATTCATAATGCTATTTTAATTGTTAGTTGGTGCTTTATTTCTATTTTTATAGAATTAATGGTCATATGGCTTTCAACTAAAATATCTGGTTTTGATTAGTTGGAACTCTGGTCTCACTCTTTCAGTGTAATACTAAGGCAACAATTGCAGCTCATTGCATCAAGCGGATAAAGGACAATTATGAATTCAAATTCAACAGATAGCTTAGGTAGAATCTAAAAGTTTAAATCTATTGAATTTATTTTAGACTTACTGAACTTGTGCTGTAATGCTTGGGTAGAGTGATCAATGGTGTGCTTATTCATAGTACTGGTATGTTTGCTTGTAGATTGCTGGAATAGTTTGAAGAGCGGAACAAAAGAAGAGAGTATATATTTTTTCAGATTTCTGAGCTCTGGAACCATTGAAGCCCTTAAGAAATGTGACGCTGATAGCATCATGTGGTCTACAAGTTCGTAAATCTATGGATTCGTATATTTGAATTTATTCAATGAATTCAATGACATATTGACATGGAGTATTTTATATTCAACTTTAGTTCCCTAAGAGTTTATATTTCTGCATGGATTTTAAACTGGAGTATTTGCTTGTAGGTAGTATTAGACAATGGCATTGCTCGAGTGACAATATCTAAACCACGAGAGATTGTTACTGGACTAGCTTATAATGGCATTGACAATTTGCTTGAATCTCGAAATCTTGAGGACCATAGAAGGTAAACATTCTATATTTAACAGATTTGTACAGTCATTTTTCTTAATGAAATCAATACTTCAATCAGTCTCTATATACAATCTAGAAACAAAATTCAAGATAACGAAAGAAAAGTTGATCAACACATGTGGAATTTTTAATTTTTTCTGCTTGTTTAATGATATATTTAACTGTGAAATGTATGCACGTATTGGGAACTTGTTTAGAATGATGCTAATACACCAGGGAAATTTGACATGTTTGTTCTTCTTGCCTTTTTGTTTCTTAGTTTACCAAAATTAAATGGATAAACTTGTAAATTTTAGGCTTTGTTTTACAGATTTGACTAAGGCTATTTGCTAACTGTATGCAAGATTAAAGCAACAACTTTTCAGGTGATTATGTTACATGATGATCAGGTGGAAGATTTCTTTTGTAGACAGTGGGATCCTTCACTCAAGGGCAAGTTATTCCCATTGAATATTGATAAAAGGTAGTTGCTTTAATCTTCACCATATTATATAAACTTCTACTTTTTATAGAGCACACTTCCTCCTTTATATATTAGTACCCCTCTCTCTTGAAATAGTTGTCATGTTAATAATGTAATTAAATCCAATAATTGTTAAACTTTTAGGTCTATAATGCTTCGTGGCTCATCCAGGTCATATACCTATGAAATCTATGAGCATATGAAAGATTGACCGGGCTTCAGCTTGGGTGAAACTAAGGTCACATTCAAGCTCAATAAACGGTGGTATAAAGAAACTGATTTCTTTGGACAGGTTTCACGGCAAACCAAATTAATTAGAAGAAATTTAGGCAACAAAGCATGATATGTTTAGTCCTGAGGCTGTTCTGTTGACAAGCCCTGTTAAACCAAACATTAAAGGAGAGGTATCATAATTTCTTATCTCATGTAGATAAAAGTTGATTATGCATTGGTTTTAAGTATTTTTATGATTTGTTCGATCATGTTTAGTGAATATATGAATTGTTATATTATATAGGTTGATGACAAATATCAGTATTCATGTGACAACAAAGAGATAAAAAACCATATACGCTTAAATTACAGCCTACTAAAGTGAACTATTTAAATTAACTTTCTATCATAAAATAAAAGTTAATATTAAAAGCTGTACAATATTTCACATTTCTATATATATATATATATATATATATATATATATATATATATATATATATATATATATATATATATATATATATATATATATATATATATAGGTCTGCTATGATTATGACTTGTTGTAAAGCCACTCCCTTAAAAAAAGGAAAATTGTTTTCTGGGATATGGTTATCCATATATAAAAGCAAGATATTATTATTCTATTACTTATAAAAACAATAAACTTTTACAGGCTTTATAAAGTATTATAAAAGTACAGTGAGCAGCTGAAAATCTTTACCTAAAGTATGGAATGAACAGTGTTAACAGTAAAGAAGAAAAAACTTACATTGCTTATTCTGAACTTATTACCAGAACCTTCCCCAATTACTGTATTCTAGCTATTTCCTATTTTTTAAATTTGTACTAACTCATATAAAAAGTGTTTCATCTTTGGCATTTCGTTTTTTTTCACAGAAGAATCAACCAAAGTAGCAGTGACGACTTACTCAGCCATGGCAGGTATGGTCCCTTCTTTTATAGATTGCTTCCATTATCCTTTAGCTCAATTATTGTTAATGTTTTTCCTATATAAATTCCTTATTGTGTACTTGATTAACTAATATTTAATATTAAATGTTATAACATTTTACATTATCATGTATAACTACTGCTATACAAAATAACATGAAAGCATTTGTATACATAGATCAAAAATGCAAAACAGCTAGACAGAAGCCAGAGTATGTGTACTTGAATCAGTTAAATGCAGCATGCAAGACTTATATAGTAAGAGTAGTTGCTGAAAAAGGAAGGGACACACTATCCTCCAAAAAAACAGTTAGATTCCAAACTTTACTTCTAAAGGATGAAAAGGTATGCATTCATTACTTTATACATGTAAATATCACACTAACTTTATTACAATTATGATGCAACTGAGAGAATATTCCTAACAGTAATCTAAATCATATCAAGCATTTAGGTAGGCTTAAAGAGTTATGGTAGGCTATACAGAAATTACATTAACTACTCTTGTAATAATCATGCTTATGCTATAATCATGCTTTTATTTATGTTATAATTTTAATCAGCTAAAGGTTCAGTTAAATATAGTACACATGAAGCTAGAATATAATGCAATCCTAATTATGTTAAATGTTCATGATTCAAGTGAAATATAAAGTATATAGCTTATTATAGTTAAATCTTTTGAGTAACCTTTTTATTCTTTTATAATATAAATTACATCAGTGTTAAAATCACTTTATTTTAGCAAAAATAATGTTAAATAAAGCACGTATTTTGTGGCACTTTAATTAAATCTCAAACAAAAGATGCCTTATTCTACAAATCTAATAGCAAATTATATATAATTAATAAGTTTAAGGGACCTTATAATATAGTTATAAATCTCACCTTGTTTCACTATCATTTTCTGCTTTATAGGGTAATAGGATGCGTGGTTCTTTATTTGGCGATCAAATTGAAGCATTTGAAGAAGCATTACAGTACCTAGGTGAATACGAAATTTCTGCTGCACCTATTAAATTCATTGACGAAAAATGGAGAACTGAGCTTGATCAGTTTCCGTACCAAATGGCTTTTGGTAGTAGAACTGTGATCCAGCCAGTTCATCCAGAGCTCAGACCAATTATGCCTAACTATCAACCCATTGCAAGTATACCTCGTACAGTTGATCCTGATGAGAAATACGGTATATTGCACTCACATAACAGTTTCACATAAAAAAAACAATTAAAAAACACTAACAAACTTATCTGAATTCACAGATATCGTGGGTGTGGTGTTATATGTTGAAGAAGAGCCAAGGAAAATTGAAGCCAGAGATGGAAAGCGAGAGAGCTTCGTACGAGAAGTAGTCGTTACTGATGAAAGGTTAAAATCAGTTCACCTAAATGTTCAGGATTAGTAAAAATAATATTTAATATATATTACAATTTGGAATCACTAACAATAAGTATTTCATGTAGCAGTTGCGATCAACCGCTCACCATCTCATTGTGGAATGATCTAACAGCACCCAAATTCTTCGACAAATTACCTAATTGGGCAGAAGCATTCCAGGTTATAGGTTTTAGAGCTCTTAAACCATATACTCGCCGTGGTAAGGCAAAAACTATTGTACTTTAGATCCCAGGTGATTTTTTACTATGACAAAATTAACACTATCTGTTTTATTTAGGTTTTTCAATGAATTTTGGTATGTCTACTCAAATAATCTATAAACCTGAAGGGGATCGAGCGCGTGAGCTGTCTAACTGGTAATCACTAAAACTTAGCCTAGCAAAAACAACAACCATTATAGTATGCTGATCATCTCTATAATGAATAATGTGTAGGGCTAACCTCTTCCACCAGAAGATATTAGATAGACAAACTAGAGTATTAGAGGTTAAGTACCTAGGTGAAAACAAAAAAATTGTTTCCATTGCTGAACTGAGACGGAAAAAGGTGAACTATAATTCATTACAGCCTCTTCCAAGGTTTACAACTTACTAAAAATTAAGTGTGCATGCTCTAACTGATATTTTGTGAATTATAATACATGTGTAGCCAAGCAACACCATACAGGAAGAACTTCTATGGATAGAGGTAACCATTTAGAATGCAGAATTAGAAAAAGTGCACGCGTACACAGGCTGTTCAAACTGCTGGAAAAGAACCAACCTTCCATTGCAGAAGCGTTATTCTTGCACTTCTTGTTATAAGAAAGAATGCATATGCACTGAGAGGTATAACACTAGCTCTTTTTAAACACCAACCTTTTTTGTTAATATTGTACCTAACAAAAATTCCTGTGAATTCATGCCAGGACAACCTTTAAGTTTGAGGCTAGCGATGGCACAGGCACTATGGCATTCACCACTTTTAACGATGACACAGAAAGACTGTTTAGGAGAAGTGCAGCTGAAATTTATGCCATAAAAGAAGCGGTAAATTACAATTACCATGTACCTACCTTTTAATTTTTGAAACAGTTTATATATGCCATGTAAATTTCCAAAGAATACTTGAAAGTTCTTATTTCATAAAATTAAAATTATAAGTAAAAAAATTAATAAGATTAAATAAGCTTAAGATACATCTAGAATATAGATTTTCCAATAGACAATCACCCATGAGATGTTTAAAGGTCCAGTAGACTTGAAAAAGTCAAACACTCTTATCTTATGCCTTAGAAACCAAGAACACAAAAAAAACCATTATTAGCAAAATTGTCAACGGTTAAAATGCCATGCCTCAATTGACAATGAATTGTTGAGTAATGTTGCTAATCAGTCCCGCATAGAAAGATTTATAAATAAAAAAGAAAGGTAAAAAAAGGCAGAAAAGAAATATAGTCATCTAATTAGATAATATTAGTGTAATACACAGTCAAAGTTATATATTATAATATTTACAAATTTTGATATAATACTAATACTTGCCATGATGATAAATACAATGCAGGATGACCACAATGCATTCGAGGCTATTCAAGACATGCTTAGTAGCAAACCGTTCTACATTAAAGTAGGACCTACATCACATTTAGGCCAGAACAATGTTCTAGAATGGACTCTCAAGGGTATAGAACTTAAGGAAGAACCTGAGACACTAGAAGTTTTGCAACCATTTGAAGGCACCTCCAACCAAGCAAAAGATGCAAATGAAAAGGAAAAACAGCAATCTATGGAACAAGGGAATCTAGAACCAGTCATTTCAACCCCAAACATGAAGGGTTCTTCAGAAAAACATACACAAGATAGCTCTTTCACTCAAACACTGGAGTTAACTCAGGGAGATATCGAATCGCTTAAGCGAAAGAAAGCTTTAGGGAAAACTCCTGTCCAATTCCAAGATGAGGAAACAGAATACGAGCCACCGCTATCACAATTCCGTGCAAAAAAGAAACTTTTCTTCGGCGGAATGACTCCAGAGAAGAACAAGACAGCCCAAGAACCAGAGATATCACCAAGAAAGGATCAAGATCAAGATGAAATTGTCCCCCTGAAAACTGACAAGAAGGAAGCCAAACCTGTAACTGTGAAGTCTGAGAAGCCGAAATAATCTTCCATCAAATCTGCCACGACAAATGATAAGGTGGTGAACTACAAAAAATATACATAATAGCCTAATGGAGTACTGCAGAACAACAATCTAAGGTGCACTACCTGCACATCATCTAAGTCTTAAATATTTTGCTAAATTACAAATATATGGACAACTATAAGAAATTCTCTTTTGCTCAGAATGCTAAGTACAATAGATAGTTGCCCATGTATTTACATAAAACTCCAGCATCGTGTAGCAATTAATCTTCAACTTACTTTCAAAATTTTATGTATATAGAAGTAAGATGTTGTAGGAGTTGCTCTTTTGAGGGTTTCCCAGGAACAGTAACAACAGTTAGTGTTCTTGGCAAACACCATAATTAGATCAAGGTCTAATGTATTGCTATATTACAAGAGATGTTAAATTATATCTATAAAAATATAGTAGTTTATATATGTGGCTTATTTGAAATTTATTATTATACTGTTTTTTTAAAGAACTAAGTGAAATTATAAAAAAAAAAGGGATCATGATAAAGAAAATAATCATCTTATGAGAATTCATACTTAATTTATAAAACATCAATACATATAAATCGCATAAGCTATAAAGTTCAACAATAAAAAGAAAGAAAGGAAAAATTCACAAATAAAAAGAAAACACATAAAATTTGTTATTAAAAATATAAAAACCTAGACTAATGTGTAGAATTAAAAAATAAACAAAGCTAATATGCTGATATTGTTAAAGCAAACAAAAAAAATAAGAGTTGATATGCTATAAAGGTTTCAATAACATGACTAAAGCTGAAACAACAAACATAAATTGTCATACACTAATCTTTTTATTAGGGAAGTTAAAATAACCTTCTGCATAGATTATTATCATAAAAAACATTACATTTTAGAATATCTCAAATCTTCATTTATTATTACAACTCCATTTCTCAAGCGTTGCAATAACCTATCACTAAAACAACATCTAAAGAAACACAATCTCAAGCACAATCGGATCATTGCTCTGCAAAAAAACAATTCCGATTTTCCCATATTCTAACTGACCATCTACAATCACTTGCGAAATTCCACCCATTAACCTACTATGAATTTTTCCATTCAATCGGGAACAAATTTCGACAATAGAATCCCATCTTCTATTTCTAAATCGCATTTGAATTTCAGTCCGCATATTGACATGATGAAACACTTGATTACCAAAGGCTACTGGAATTTCCTGCGAATGAACACATAAAATGTATTAGATACAATAAGATCACTTATTTAAAATTTTATATTCATAACTTAAATAAATAGAAAAAGACACTAACCAAAGTATCTTCTTCATAGCATGTTGGTGTAATTACCCAAGGGAACCATGGCTGATTCCCAAGTCCTAGGGCAACAAGAAAATCATCACTAGAAGAACCATTTCCACCACTTGACATAGACCTATGTAGAGGTTCTAGAGAACCAAACCTTTCCACCATTGACGATGAAAAAATTCTTACATAAAATCTCCTATTCCCACCATAATATACAATAACAATTTCACCTTCACAAATATGATTATCATTGACAAACCCTTCCAAACCAAAGTCTAATAGCATAAATTGCCTACTATCCTCTGTCACTTTCAGCAACTGAACAATCCATACACGACTATTGCTGCCACGAATGACTTCCACTGGACTGGATACACCAGATAACATAGATGTCCAACTCTCCGGTAACTCCTACAAAATAAATTAAAAATTGTATTGAAATCTAATTCCAAAAAATAAAAACACAAGCAAAAAACAAAATTAGAATAAATAAACATCCAAGAACAAGAAACAAAAATAAAATTAAACAAATCGTTTTTTTCATACCAATTCTTTACGATATTCATCTTTAAAAAACAACAAATGAGAAGGTAAATTTGTGTATAGACTCATAATTCCTGTAATCAAAAGAATTTATTCAAAATTAGAATGCAAGCATATATATCAAACAAAAAATATAAAATAATCAAGCCTTTCATACACCTTATCACGATCTTTCTTTCAATTACTTGCACATTACAATGGAAGCTGCATATATAGTAAACTGTGTATGAAAAACATCTCATTGACAGTAATTCCAATTAAAGATAATATTGATAAATATTGACCACATTTATAACGGCTTATTAACTATATATTAAACACATGTAAAACTTCATCAAGAATAAGATCTTGACATTGACTATAAATTGAATGCATTGAAAATAGATAATAGAAAACTTGACTATTCATCTAATATATATGAAAATTGGTCAGTCAATTTCAAACTTACATACCTATTAATCAAATCACAAATACAATAACTCCTTTGGAATTTATCAAGGTACAGCCTGATAATAAAAACAAGATAAATATTTAAATTAAAATATTAATGTTACTGCTCTGTATAATGCCAAGTAATAAAATTCAACCACTACAAAACAAGAGCAGCATCATCAACAACATTTAAAACGTTCCAGCATATGAATAAAGCAAACAAATTTAGCAGTAAATGTATATAAACAGAACAGTTATTAGTATTCAATAGCTATAAACTAAGCTTAAATCCTCATAAAATAATAAAAGACATTATCGAATAACAGATAATGCATCACATAGTAATTACAATTACTAAAAGATAAAAGAGTACATTGTACATTATATAAGTACAATAGATAAAAACTGTAGCCATGTGAATCAAAATATGAGAAGACACTCTTCATGGACTACAAATACTTCAGCTTTGCAGTATGAAATCAAATCACTGTACAAAAACTTATAAGAGATATACACAATCTAAAATCAATCCACACACATGTATCTTCTCAAATAAATCATACAATAATACACCATCTAGCATTGCTATTATATTTGACAATTATTTAGAAGTTCATTCAGATGATCACCCAACTAAGGATTAAAAACACAGCCTTCAATCCTAGCCAGAGTAGTTGCTTAGATGAGTCTCAGTCATTATCTAACATAGCATGAACATTAGTGAAGCTAATGATGCTCTTTAAATTAGTACAGTCTGAAAGTTAATAAAGCTTTAGAGTTACAATATGAAATATTAAAGTTTAAAGCAGCAACTTGGATTATCAAAATGGCATCAATTAGATTTAAAGTTAGAAAAAGTCTTTCAATATTATACAAGACAAAGGAATAATAACACTTTAACCAAAATTGGGATAAATATATAAAAACTCAGATTAGAGGATAAACCCCTGATTTAGCAATGTAGCATTATAGTTTATAATACATAGTAATTAAATAAACCTAGTAAGGAATTGTCAAAATAAACTAATGAAAAAATTCCCGAAAAATCTTGAAGTTTGCAAACTGGATGAGATCTTGGTGAGAAATATAGACAACAAAAAGTAGGCTGCACCTTTCGGTGCTAAAACTTCAGATGGTATGATAACGTCAAATTCTCCTTTGCCACAACATATTTAAGTCCGTCAATTGCAATGTAAATCAGACACTTTTTCTAACTTAATTGTGTTATGAGATCGGGACTAAGTGACCTAAATACCAAGTAGCTGAGATTGAGGCATCCCTTTACCATCAAGAAGTCCTCCAAACAAATTTATGCTCGATAAGCAGAAATCAATGGCTTCCATATTCATATTAGATCCAATTCTGCCAAGTTCCTGTAAGAACTATTCAGTAATCAACATTTCAGAAGCTCATACCTTAATTTTATAAAATCCAAAATATATCTATGATCGTAACATTTATGAATTAAATCATCATCAAGTTGGAAAAATAATCAAAATTCATGTAACATTAGTGAAGCTAATCGTTGTCTTCTTATTTATCAATTATCCTTTGAAGTCTTATTTATTATTATCTTACACCCAATTTAAATGAACTTATAAAAACCCTTAGTATAGTTAACTCTTAAAAACAATTCACAACATTTGAACATCCCACCAAAATATACAACATAGCTAACTGGAATGGCAATATAATTTGTTATAGATAAGACTCAACATTGCAGAATCTGTTGACAACAAAGCTGCATCATTAATTCCAAATTGTGAAGAAGCATGCATGTTCATACTGCAGCAAAATAAACAAGCTTGCATGACACTTATTAAGAGATGACAGCAATTGCAATATATCATGCACCATTCATTTACAGCTGTAGCCATGTGATGCTTAAAGTGAATGCATTGTGAAGTATCTCTGTGAAACAAAAGCACTATGCAAGGTATTATCAAGATAAAGGTGATGCTTAAAGCTACAATTTTTCAAAGAGAATAGCCGTAGTACTTTTAAGCCATTGAACTTTTAAACTTGCTCAATTTAATTTGAACAAATTATCAATTCATTTGCTTGTTAAAGTAAAGCTAAATTACTTATGCTAAACAAGAGTATACTTTTGGTAATGTTGGTAAAGTAATCATATCAATCGTTCTTTATGTTGAACTTTATATGGTTACTACAAGTTACATGATCTCGGAAGGAGATAATCTAAACAAGGTATTCCCGGAATTTTCAGTTGGAGTATTTGGAATCCCAATCGAAGGCAAATCATGCTTCATAGTAATCATTCCTCTAATTCTTCTCCCAACTGTTTTGTTAGATAATCTAAGCATTTTGGCTTACTTTTCTGCGGTTTATAATTAAAAATCTATTTAAAGTGATATAATGAACAGACCAATCACATAGATTATAACTGTCAAACGAACTTCATATCATGGTGGTTCTCCAAATGCTTAAAATTCTCTATGTAACTTGTAAGTATGTAATTTCTTTAGTAATTGTTACATTATTGTATTAAGATGGTGTTCTTTTACAACAATATCATGATGCTTAGCAATTTGATATTGGTGGGCCGTTCTTACATGCATGCAATCAAATAAAAAGCAATAATGAAAGCACTACAAAACAAAGTGCTCACCTAAAAAAAATTTACTTGTAAAAAAAAAAAGGAGCATTTTCTTACTATAAATAGGACTTAACATGAATATGAGCAAACACAAAATACTTCATTCCAACGCACTGCAAACCAAATAGAAACCTAAAATTATCTACAAAAAGAAAAACACAAATTCCTTATCATCCTAGCTTAAAAAAATGCCCCAAACAATAACTACCGAAATATATCGACTTCCCCTTCCTATTATAAACCAAAAAATAATTTCGGCTTACATAAAAATACCGTTACATCTACACATAAAAACACAATCAGCAGCAAAGTTCGTGGTAAAACAGGGAATCAGCACCAAAGTTGGTGGTAACGTATTCCCTTAAAATGCACTTTAATATAATTATGTTACTGGTGGTTGAATTCACTGCAGAAGTAACATATTAATATTAAAGTGTATAAATAAATCCCAAGTTATGCATTAAAGAAAATGGAGTAGGTGTTTATGTCAAAGAAATGGAATTAATTTCCATCAGATGAATCCAACTCCAACAAATAA